ATTTCATTCTCTTCTGAGTTGGATTCATTGTACAGAATGTCTCTTGGGAAGATTACTTATTAAAATAAGAAATAAGTTTACTTATGAAATGTCATTTGATAATTTAGTTGGCATGAAGTTACAATGCTAACACGCACTGTGTATTACAGATTGAACTCAAGAAATTTGAAGTGACAGAAGAATAAGTGCACTAGCACAGGCAGTGGCAGTGGCAGCTGTGACTCACTGGCAAGCCTTCTAAACTCGACAGTAGGTGTGACATCCAGACCATTTTCTACCAGGGCGATAACCGAGCTCTCTGACACCGTCATTTATTTCTTAACCATGGAAATGCTAATATAAAGAGTGCTTTATGGAGAAGATGGAGGAGGTAACATGTAGATTATTAAAATAGTGAAAGGATGGTAATCTAGTCTGATTAATTTCATCAGGAAAAAGTTTATGTTCCACTAAATTAGGATAGCAACGTCTACTGATGAATGATTTATTTTATTTTTTTCTTTTGAAGGCTGTTGAAAACTTTGCTAGAAAAAGACAGTGATTTCAGATACAACTTGAGGCACGAACCTCCAATGCTACTGTGAAAAAGATACTCCTTACGTGTACCAATGCAGAAAATGATTATTATTCTCTTTGCTAAAAATCCCATAACTCCTATAGGAAGAACAGCTTGGAATAGAAGTGTCAGCCTATCACTGATCACACTGTGTGACTATGGACAGGTATTCCTGGGGAGAAAGCCACACTCAGGGTTCTGTGTGGTGCACCTGATTGAGCTCTAGTTCTGGGAAAGAGAGAACGCAATGCATACAGTGTATTTGCACTTTAAAATTCACAGAGAACTTTCCAATGAATGGTCATAACAAGAATTAGCTGTCTCTATTTTCCAAATGAGTAAATGAGGATCAGAGGACATAAGTAACTTGCTCAAGTTCACAAAGCAAATAAAAGAAAAAGAATGTGAGGACTTTTGAGTCTGTGTCTTGGGAAATCTCACTTATTCCTCAAGCAACTTTAATTTTCCCTGAGGACTTTGATGCTCAGGGTGTCCCTCCTCTTCAAAGTGAAGAGCAGAATATACTTGATTCTCAGTAACACCTAAGAACTTAGACTTTCCCACCTTTTTTCTCATTTTACTTTGGCTGGGAATGTACACATCTTTTTTTTATTGATTTATTTGTTCAACAAGTGTTCATTAAGCTCTAGCCATGTACCTAGTTCATGAGTCAGAATAAAAGTTACATAAAAGTTTCAGGCAAAGAATAATAAGTATGCACATTTTAATCAACAATAGTCAAATATATCTAAAAAGCTTCTCCATCTCCTTTTTCCCATTCAAAAATTGATATTATAAGCCTCCTGTGATTTTTTTTTTATTATCAGTGAATTAATTATCTATTTTGTGAACTTGAATCTAAACCCCAATAATCTGAAAAGTGATTGGTATATTTCTTTGATTTTGGCATAAGATTGGAAACTTGAGAGTGAATATCAATATTATTTTAAGAAAAAAATAATTAGTAGGGTTATGTTTGCTAAACAAAAATAACAATGATCATCATCATAAGTATTATTCACTTCCACTTCAAGATGAGAAAGATGAAGTTCTGTTCAAGTTTATACAGAAAGTAAGTTGTAGAACCAAAAGTTGTAGAACCAATATAGTAGTTAAACTACTATATTTTATTAAACTAGATTTAATTTAACAATTAAGATTAAATGGTGATTTCCTTGATGTATCGACAGAATGGAAAGAGCAACAGAATACAGATTAGCTCTTACATAGAATATGGACAGCTTATTGAGGAAAATAAATCAGACTTCTTACTCAAAGAGATCTCTAGCATCAATCCTGTTTTTAAGGCTACACAAATCAAATATACATTAATTCTGCAAAGTCTAGACCACAGCCATTTTTTTCAAAATTAAGTGCATAAGTCTTTTTTTTTTTTTTTGCTGAAGAGCTTGAGAGTTTTTATATGTATAGTTTCTCATTTTTTAAGCTTTTTAATTAATAAAAAATATTTTTTCAGAGTTTTACTTTTATTCACGGCATCATTAAAGAATGAGGGAGGAAATAGATATTATTTCACTTTGAAGATGAATAAATTAAAGTACTGGGAGGGCAATGTGATTTTCTAATTTATTTTAGTGTTGATATTAGACCATGTTGGTATGGTTCATGAGACCAAACATCAACTTTTTACTAACATTGATGTTATTTCACTGACTACAAACTTTATAACAGCAGAATCTTCCTGATCTCTGTGCATTTTATTTATTTTATACATTAACCTTGAAAAATAGTTACTAAATGCCTTCTCAGGGAGGAAACTGTGAGAAGCACTGTGGGCTCAGTCATTAGTAAGGAAGTCACAGCAATGGCCTCACAATACTTATCACCTAGAGCAGTGCATCTAATAAAACTATGATCCACATGTTATCTTCTATAGTAACGTTAAAAAACAAACAGGTATAGTTAATTTTAATACTGTACTTAACACAAAAATATTGAAAACATTACAACTTCAAGGTATAATGAACATGCAAATTTTTGAGATACATTCAATTCTTTTCTCATACTAAGTCTATATGTATATACTTAACTATCTCTATATATAAAAGCCGAAGCTACCAAACGACCAAGTGATCGACCGGTTGCTATGACGCGCACTGACTACCAGGGGGCAGACACTCAACACAGGGGCTGCCCCTTGGTGGTCAGTGCACTCCCATAGCCAACCTCTGGCGGTTCCTTCCCCTGGTCGACCGGCCACTCTGATCGGCCCCCATCGCCAGCCAGGCTGAGGGACCCCACTTGTGCACGAATTCGTGCACCAGGCCTCTAGTGTTATATAATTCTACACTTGCATCAGCTTTTTCTACTTGCCACACATTCATAACTTCAGACTACAATAAATAAGGTTTTTCACTACAAATATAGGCTTCTTAAACCATGTTGTTATTCAGTCACTTATTGGTCTATAAGCTTCATGAACACAGAGGATCTATCTGATTCTCTCCCCAATCTATTCTTAGTACTCAGTATAATGCCCTGGTATATAGCAGCCTCTCCTAAATCATTTTTTTTTAAAATAAATGAGCTTTAAAATGTAATTTCATTGTTTTATTTTCTCTTTACTAAAGAATTCTATCATCATCAATAAAGTTTTATTAGAGGTTGATATGAGCCATAAAAATAGACTCATTAGGGAGAACTCAAATATTTTAGTGGAATTTACTAAAATGGGGTTTTACATACACATATATGATTATCATCACTTTCACTATATCATTTGTCATAACCCCAGTATGTTTTTCATATCATATCTTCCTGAAAACACTTACATTGTTTCTATTCTACATCTTTATGTAACTTCTATCTAAACAGTGTTATTTCCCCAAGTTTGCTGAGTAGGAATCTGAGACAGAAAAGTTAATTTCTTAAGGCAGATTCCCAATTATGCCTCAAATTCACAAGCTTCCAAACTCTAGATTAGTACTGATGTTGCTATTAATTAGGCTGTACCTTTGAAGAGACTGTTGACACTCTCTGTGCCTCAGTTTCTTCAGTTACCAGATAAGGTTTTTTTCACTGAAAGACCTCTTGAACACCCTCATTTCAAGTCCTCATTTTCAGCACCATAAAATTCCGGACTTACTTGTGAATAGAAAAAAAATGTGACATCTCACTGCCCTTCTTTTCAATATGAGAGACAGAACTAGTTAATGTCTGATGGAAAAGATAAGGTGCAGACATGTGAGTGAGTATGGAGTGAGGAAAAAGAAAGGGAGATGAGATGAGGATGAATTTAATGTTAGCCTGCTAGTATAAACTCTTTATAGGGAAAAATATCATGAAATATTTTAATTTGACATAACCTATGAGAATTTTGCAATTACTTGCATTAAGGAAGTTGCTCAATGTTAAATTTCAAGGGCCCTGAGGTATGCTACTTAAAAAATTGGAGATTTAGTCAACTTTTTATATTTTATTAGCATAACTAAGAAGAATATATTTTTATGAAATCATGTCATAAGACAATTGCTATATGATCTTTAAATCTTGATCTGAATAAATGCATAATTAAGTTTTATTCCTTAAACTATGGATAATATTAAGATAGAGGCCACCAATACTAGGAGCTTTCTATAAGCTTTTTCCTATGTCTTTAGCTATTTAATTAACTTAAGAGAAACCACTGAAAAGAAATCTTAATACATTTGGTAAATAAAAAAGATGTATGGCTTCAGAAGGTCCAAAAAGACAAATAATTTACCACTGGAATTCTGTGAAATAACAACTGCAGAAGTTGTATTTTTGTCTAGGGAAACTTTCATCATGAAATACAGCTGTGAGACAACTTTGGCTTCAAACAGAAAGGCTATAATAAAGCGCCTCCTAGCTAGACTTAGGTTCAAGAGGTTTATGGTGGCAAACAGCAAAAAAAGATGAAATGTTTCAATAAGCCCCTCAGGCTGATTTAGTTTAGCATTCACCAAGTGGAATAACCTATACATCACATACCCTTTGTTAGCCGGGTGTTTAGAATAGATGTATGAGTCACTGGATTTTATTTTAGCAGTTGGGCAATGCAATTCTCCTTTTGCCCAAAATATTAAAATGCAGAAATGTGAAACTGAAGGTAATGTCAGATCTTATACAGGATGCTTATCAAGCACTGTGATGAATCAAGGAATTTTTTTGCTCTTGTTATTCCACGTTTCACCTTGGTAGGCACAAATGATAAATTATCTCATGTAAAAAAAAATCTATTATTAAACTAATCAGCAAACTACAGTATATTTTAAAATTGTGTATGTGGGGGGGGAGAGGTGTTGGAGGTGGAGAGGAAGCTTGCAAAACCAAAGATTTTAGGCAAGATTCACTCCTGCATGATTTTAAGTACAAATGAAACCCTTTGGGAGTTTGGGGGATTAATATATATATATTCTTTTTTTTCTCCCTCTCAGACACTGTTCAGAATTAATGAGGGTACCTGCGACGATGCTGGCAAGCTGCTGGGTTCTGGTGATGGGGTAGATGCTGCGTGCCTGAACGATTGCTGAAGCGATTTTCTTGGCATGCCTCTCCTCCCCGTATGTTCTCAGGATGGATGCAAGTGCCTGTTGATCTAAAGCGTTCACAACATCAGCTGCGGTGGGCATGTCAGGGTACCTACGCACAAGAAGAACCAATTAGTTCATTGACGTCAGTTTCATTGACAAGAGGTGAAACTTCAGAGTACTGAGACATAAAGTCAGGCATACAAACATAGGCTAAGAGAGCTTCTGAGGTTTTTAAAGTCAGAGACTGAAATCTTACAGGGTTAAAATAAGCTTTCCATCATTAGAGCAAATGGGGACTCTGTGTGTGAGGTTCACCAAGGTCAAGGGCAGCAGGAAATTAAAATAGTTTACTAACCTTTAATTCACAAAGAAGTGACTGCTCATGCAGATTTCCCCTAAACTAAAATAGCAGAAATATTTGGATTTAGTTTGTTCAAAACTTAAATTGTTGCTTGAACTTTTTTTCTGTATAGAGAAGTAACAAGGGTACTGACTGATACTTAAATGAACCTCAATCTCAGGAACTTAAATAAACCCGAGACTGTCCAGTAACCAACTACTTATATTATTGGGGTACAAACTGACTTAGAAAATCATTACAGGAGTCCCACCTTATCCTAGGGAATACATCCAAGACCCCACCAGAAACTTGAAACCACGATAGAACCGAGTCCTATACATACTATGTTTTTTCCTATACATACATACATACATACATACATACACTCTATTGCACCTTTGGTGTATGTGAATTACCAGCATCACTACTCTTGCACTTTGGGATCATTATTAAGTAAAATAAAGGTTACTTGAACACAAGCACTGTGATACCACTATAATTGATCTGATAACCCAGATGGCTACTAAGCAACTAATGAGTGGTTAGCATATATAGCATAGATATGCTGGACAAAGGAATGATTTACATCCCAGGCAAGAGAGTGTGGGATTCCACAAGCTTTCATCTTGCTCTGCAGAATGGTGCACAATTTAAAGCTTATGAATTGCTTATTTCTGGTGTTTTCCCATTAATAGTTTCAGGCCATGGTTGACCTCAGGTAACTGAAAGGAGAGAAAGTGAAACCAGGGATAAGGAGGACTACTGTAAAGAAGATACTGCTGGTCAGCCTCCCTCAAAAAACCAGAACAATCTTAATTATAATAATGTGTATTATTTCAAATGTTTAACAATACTGGCTTCTACGTCCAGGACAAAAAACATCATGGGATAACACTTGGTAATCAACAAATAGTACTAAACAAGCCTAGATGGTAATTTCAGGTGAAGAAGACAAAGAAATATCAAACTGTGCCCAAATAAGTCGTAGTAACAGGAAACAGAATTCACTTTGTCAGACCATGCCAGCTTACCTTACCTTAGAAAAATGGATCCAGGAATTCTAAGTGATGAGTTAACCGAGACCTTACTTATTAGAAAGATAGCTTTGCTAATAGTATAGTTACGACTCGTGTAGTAAATATGTTGGATTGATTGTTGGTACCACATTGTGAGAAATTTAACTAACAAAGATATGGCATCTTTAAGAACTGAGGATCAAATCAGATTTAAGAAACACTTAAATCCTTCCTTAAATATACTTCATTGCACCTCATTAGAATGCCTAGGTCCTCCAGTAGAAAATTTTGTTTTCCTTGGCTTGTCCCCTATTTTGCCATCATCTCCATCTCTCCTCTCTTCTCTCTCTCTCTCTCTCTCTCAATCGATGTGTCTCTCTCAGATCGATGTTTCTCTCTCTCTCCCTCTCTCTCTCTCTCTCTCTCTCTCTCTCTCTCTCTCCCTCCCTCCCTCCCGCCCTCCCTCTCTCATATCCTTTTTTTCCTGGATGCATGGCACCCCCAGACCAATGAATATCCTACACCAGTGATGGCGAACCTATGACACATGTGTCAGAGGTGACATGCGAACTCATTTTTTTTGGTTGATTTTTCTTTGTTAAATGGCATTTAAATATATAAAATAAATATCAAAAATATACATCTTTGTTTTACTATGGTTGCAAATAACAAAAAATTTCTATATGTGACACGGCACCAGAGTTAAGTTAGGGTTTTTCAAAATGCTGACACGCTGAGCTCAAAAGTTTCACCATCACTGTCCTACACGGTAGTCTGGTTTCTATCTCAATAGCCTTTGCTCCTTCAATAATAGCTTCAAGGATAAAGATTTGGTCTTTAGAGTCAAACTGACCTGATTAGAATCCTGGCTTTACTTTTGGGTAATCTTGTTAATATAGTGGAGCCTCAATTTCTAACCTGTGAGTAAAAGTAACAATGCTTACCTCATAGAATTGTTGAGAGAGTTAAGGGTGCATATAATCATAAAACACATAGTATAATAGCCCATAGGGAAGCTCAATGCCTGTCCATGTCCCTTAGATTTTTCCCATTCTTGGATTTGCCAATCATCATTTTTGGCATAATTGACACAATCCCTGCTAGATCTTACCTAGTTGTAAATTCAACTGCCCAAACCACTGAGTATTAGAATGAACCTTGTGAATGATGATAAACTCAGATTCCATAGTATGGATTTCACCTCAAATCGGACAGTTCTAAAATTAGTATGGATGTACTTAGCAATTTTTGATAATACCGTTCTACTTTCAAGTATGAAAAAATGTTGTTTCTTAAATGTAGTTCAGTGGATAATAGGCATAATTTTATTTTATCTAATGTTAGTGCTACAAGGCCAAAGGGGGAACACGCTGAAAGCCAGAGGGCTTCTAGGAGGCTTTAGAATAGGCATTTATATGGTGTAGAAGTCAAGATACAGCCCTAGCTGGTTTGATTCAGTGGATAGAGCGTTGGCCTGTGGACCAAAGTTCCCAGGACCAAAGGTTAAGGACACGTACCTTGGTTACAGGCTCCTCCCCGGCCCGGACCCTGGTTAGGGCTCCTGCAGGAGGCAACCAATCGATGTGTTTTTCTCACATCGATGTTCCTCTCTGTCTTTCCCTCTCTCTTCTACTCTCCCTTAAAAAAATGGGAAACTATCCTCAAGTGAGGATTAACAAAAACAATTAACAACAAAAAGTCAAGATACAGAATCTGTTTCCCACCCAAACTTAATAGGTTAAGGGACTTCATCGGTTCTCCAGAGATCACGGACTTATAAAGAAAATATTAACCTAAGTGTGAATTTATTTATTGCCTTATAGTGAAGACTACACCTGACAACAGGGCTATACCCACAGGTCCTTGAATCTGCTGATTTCTTTCTGCTGCATGAAACCTTATTATGATCTAAAAGCTGTTGTTAAAATTGGGATAGCACAAATCAAACTATGCTATAAGATTCTAATGTTCAATGGCAACAAGTTAAGAAAGCCTGCTGCATCCACATTCGACGCAGGGACATATCAGCCTCCATGATTTGACTGACCACTTCCCCTCTCCCATAACACCACTTGGATTAGCAATGCACTTGTTTACATCTCTGACTCTTCTTTTTCTATAAATTCATGTGAATCAACTCCCACTTTCTGAATAGCACATACTTTCTTCAGATCTGTTAATATTTGTGGCTAAGTTACAGTCTATGCTATCTCAGTGGAAGTCTACCTGCTTTTTAAGTTATTTTCTCAACTCTAAATCTCATCCATTACATATTAAGAGTTTCATTCGCAAAGGCAATCTTATTTTCATGTTCTTAGGGGAGAATCTTGGGAACCCTGATTCTCACATTAAAATTTGCTGACAAATCTTTACATTAACAATATGGGGGTTTACTACTATTAACTAGAAGCTCTGTTCATTGTATTTCAGAAGGCATCCTCCTTAGCAAGACATCAAGAATAGCCGAAATTTGCTTGAGATTTTAGTGTCTCTGCTAAACCTCAATCTCCAAACATGAAAAAATATTTGACCTTCACTATTAGTCACTGATTTTTAAAAGATTTTTATTATTTTCTTTTATGATCACATTCTCCATTCTATGAATGCCAACTTGAGCAAAAGAAGGTTTAAGACTCAGAACAAAAAGATTCTGACAAGTATGGGTCACAATATCTGTTAAAAGGTCATATCAAAGCACGACTGTCCATAAAAAAGATAATCAGTGTGGAGGTTATCCTCCTCACTTGTTTGTGTAGACAGCAATGGTTTTTCTTTCGGAATCCCAAATCTAGAGAAACACTGAAAGCTTTAATGAGTATCAAACAAAACTGATTTATTATATATGGATAGTGTTGGGTATGGGGTGTAATGGGAATTCTGCAGTCTTAAAGGGAAATTAAATTCAGAGTGCTTTTGAGAAATCGATTTCTTGTTGTGTGGAGAAATGCTTTATTGATACTCACCTGCCACCATCCATTCTCATGTCCAAAGGGCCATCATTCCGAAGGGAAAAACCTCTTTCAGGAGCATCAAATTGCATGGAGGAACATCCTAGATCGAAAAGAACTCCATCCAGCGTTCCTGGCTGCACTCCAGCTTTCATTAATAAGCCTTCGGCCTGGCTGAACTGGCCTAGCATAGCTCGGATCTGTTTACTGTGGACAAACCCAGGAGATGAAGAAAACACTGCTGTTACACAAAAGTCTTTTCTAAGGTCTATGGTCAATAGAAGCAGCACATCCTATTATTAAATGATTTAACCAATACATATTTACTAAATGCCAACAGCATGCTTAATACTATATAAAGACAGATGGGTATAGAAATTCTACATCTTTGGTTCCAACACCAGAGTTGATTTAATGTAATTTTATTCTTGCTAATGAACACAATTTGTTTTATGCTTTTGTGAAAGTATACAATAAGTTGATAAATTTAAACATTTCCTTTGTCAGGCCAGGTATTTCATTTTTTCTTTAAAAAATTATTAAATCTATGTGTCAGGAAAAGAAGCATATACAAATCTATAAAAAGAATAAATTTAGAAATAACAAATTAAGGTAAGGATGTGGAGAAAAGGGAACTCTTGTGTACGGTTGGTTTGAATGTAAACTAATATAGCGACTAGTTATAGAGGTTCCTAAAAAAATTAAAATTAGAACTTCCATGTGATTCAGCAATTCCACTTCTAAGAATATATCCAAAGGAAATGAAACACCATTGTCAACAGTTATCTGCACGCCCCCCCCCCCCCCCCCCCCCCCCATTATGTGCAATAGCCACAGCATGGAAACAACTTAAGTGTCCATCAGTGAATGAATAGATAAAGAAGTTACAAAATATTATTCTGCCATAAAAAATAAGATTATGCCATTTGCAACAAAAAGGATGAAATAATGCTAAGTAAAATAATTAAGAAAAAGATAAATTATGTATGATCGCACTTATTTGTGGAGTCTAAAAAAAGAGAGAGGAACCCAAATTCACAGAAGAAGAGATCCAATTCACGGTTATTAGAGGCAAGGGATGGGGTACGGACTTTGGATGAAGGTGGTCAAAAGGTACAAACTTTCAAATAAATAAGTACTACAGATGTTTGTACAACTGATTACTACTGGTAGTTTACACTGATGTATGGTATATATGAAAGCTGCTAAGAAAGTAACTCCTGCCCTGGCCGGTGTGGCTCAGTTGATTGGAATATCATCCGATGCACCTAAAGGTCACAGGTTCAATTCCTGGTCAGGGCACATACCTGGGTTGTGGGTTCGACCCCCCAGTCAGGCGCATGTGGAAGGCAGCCAATGGATGTTTCTCTCTCACACACTGGTGTTTTTATTTCTCTCTCTCTCTGAAAAAGTCAATAAACGTGTCTTCAGGTGAGGATTAAAAAGGAAGTATCCCCTAAGAACTCTCATTCCAAGGAATAGTATATATAAGTCAAATCATTATACTGTACAACTTAAACGTATACAGTGATGTATATCAATTATTATCTCATAAATTTAATGAGTAAGCCAATTTAAATACACTAAGAAATAAAACAGAAATCACCAGCAAAAGATGACGGTTCTTCTGAAGCCTTAGGGCAACTGTCATGCATTTGGAAAGGGAACGAGAAAAGGAAAATTGGGCAACATTCCCAAGACCTCATTCCCTCCATCTACAGGTGGGTAGAGTGAGTGTGGATTTTGACAGTGTTGGGGAATTTATATTTATGTTTTATTTTATACACAGGTTGTCCCAAAAAGTGTATACACACTCTAACAGATGCTAGCTCAATTCTGAAAATGAAATGTATTTTAATAAACACTGTTTTTATAATTACTCAAAGTGTGTGTACACATTTTTGGGGGACACCCTATATTATGTCATTTAAGAAGAAATTCACAGATCATTGTGTGTGTTTTTATTTTATTTCAATGAAGACAACTATTTTCAGATTCACTCACCAATTATTTGGAGGTATATAATAATGATTAATAAAATGATTAAAAAGGCCTGACATTCTGAGCTTTGAGCTGAAAGGAAGAAATGAATAAATAGTTTGCATAACGATCTGACAGGTGGAACTGACAGTGGACAGATAAACAAATTGCTACGTCTATATAGGCAAACTCGTTTTATTGCACCTTGCTTTACTGTGCTTTGCAGATACTGTTTTTGGTGTGTTTTTTTGTTTTTGTTTTTCTTTTTTGTTTTTCTGGCAACCTGGCATCCAGCAAGTCTAGCAGTGCCATTTTTTCAATAGCATGTGCTGATTTGGTGTCTCTGTGTCACTACATTTTGATAATTCTTGTAATATTTTAAACTTTTTCATTATGATTATATTTGCTACAGTAATCTATGATCAGTGATGTCTGATGTTACTATTGTAATTGTTTTAGGGTGCCACAAATCATACCAATGTAAGATGGTGAACTTTATTAATAAATGTTGTGTGTGTTCTGACTGCTCCATTGACAAGTCATTCTCCCATCTCATACTCTTTCCTTGGACTTTCCTATTCTGTGACACACAACAATATTGAAATTATGCAGCCAACTAATTACCCTACAATTTTCTCTGAGTGTTCAAGGGAAAGGAAGAATTATACATCTCTCACTTTAAGTGAAAAGCTATATATGATTAAGCTTAGTGAGGAAGGAATAACAATACTGAAATAGTCCTAAAGGCAGTCCTCTTGCACCAATTAGCCAAGTTGTGAATTCAAAGGAAAAGTTCTTAAAAAAATTAAAAATGCTACTCCAGTGGAACACACAAATTATAAGAAATTAAAACAGCCTTACTGATGATGTGGAGAAAGTTTTAGTGGTCTAGATCAGTGATCACCAACTGGTGGTCCACGGACCACTGGTGGTCCGTGAGGTCTGAGAGGTTGGCGACCACTGGTCTAGATAGATCAAACCAGCCACAACATCCCCTTAAACCAAAATCTAATCTAGAGCAAGGCCCTTTCTCAATTCAATTCCACGAAGGCTGAGAGAGGTGAGAAAACTGCAAAAGAAACGTTTGAAACTACCAGAGGTTGGTTCATGAAGTTTATGGGAAAAAGCCATCTCCAAGGTGAAGCAGTAAATTATCCAGATCTTGCTAAAATAATTAATGAAGGTGGCTAGATTAAACAACAGATTTTCAATGGAGGAGGAAGAACCTTCTGTTGGAAGATGATGGCTCCTTGGAAGTTAACAGCTAGAGAGGAGAAGTGCTGGGGTCAAACCCCAGCAGGTCCAGGGGTCCCCAAAGGTGTGGACGGAGTCGCCC